ACTCCAAACTTAGCATGTACTTCAATAGTATCCTGAGTAAAGATATTTTATTAACAAAGCCACCGTGCGTACCTTCCTTTAGTTATTCTTAAGTAGACAAATGGGTGCTCCTGATAAATGTTGGTATTTTGGAAATGCAATTGTGAGTATAATTTCCAGCGTTATGCTTTCCTATCTGCTTGGATTTAATAGGAGTCCAATTATCCAGTTTTGATGAAGGTTGAGCACAGTTGATGTACACTAAAAAAGTAAAGAGACTATTTATAAATGTGCAGTCTTATGGAGTAAATAGAACTACCTGTGGGGAAGTTCAGTTCATTCAAGATAAAGAACAAGCTACGACTAAAACATGTTGCACCATTTTTTGATGTTAAAGGGCCAAGAAGGAAATATGTTCTCAACAAAAATGCTGAACTCATCAATTTGCTTGCTCAGCTATTAAAATATATTTTCCTAAATATGCTGTTTAATAAGGATATGTACTCATCTTGCTAGTGTTTCACCAGTTTCACCTCTGTTTCCAGGTTCACAATATGCAAAACTCAAAGTAAACTGCCCAGGTTGGAAAAATGTGGGTGACTCACTGGGATGATTGTGTGAGCTAAAGTACATGGGCTAAAGTCAATGGGCATTAGCAAGTCAGCAAAGGCCTAATGCTAGATTCTCCCATACTGTAAATCAGCCTGGGTCCAAGAAAGTCGATAGTGATAAGCTGATTTATATCAGTCTAGGGTGTGATACAGAGGTCAATGCAGGTAAGTAGAAGATGGTTATTTTTATAGGTACTTGTAATTTACAAAAATACAATGAATCAAGAAGTGGGACAGATCCAGTGCAGCACCTCCCAATCACACAGCACATGTGTACCAGTCCGATCACTGTCTACTATCTCTTTAAGGAGAAAAAGGGAAAAACTCATTAAGACTGTTGAACATCTCAAAAGTACCTGCAACTTGACCATTGTACACACTTGTATTTTCCTGCACCTATGCTGTACCATTGATTTTATTCTATGTGGTAGCTATAGTATCTCTGCCTGTGTGACCTACCAATTTTCAGTACTGTTATAGAATGATCTCTCAAAATGGAGTGAAGGGACATAAAGTGGCAGATAATTTTCAGGTCTCAATGTTGAATTTTAATGCCCAAGGTGAAAAGAACCTCCTATTCTACATGGACAATTATGGGCTCTGCGTTAGCTGTTAGTACTCAGAAAGAGATCTTGAGGTGCGTCTAGGTGTTCATTGATGTGCCTAAAATACTACAGTTTTAGTTTTGTATTTCTTTAATGAAGTACTAACTGAATGTGCAGTAACTAAAGTTATTGTGCAGTCGTGCCAGTGCATGGTTATTAGGGGTGTGTGAAGCGGGCCCTATTCGATTAGGATTTGGCCCGAATTGGGGATAGTGGTTCAATTCATTGATTCAGATCACTGTCCCTGATTCAATTCGGCTGAATCTGAATCTGAAGATTTGATGCTGATTCAGAGAATCAGCAATTTGGACATAGACACAGCTTTAAAACCTTTTTCTACATACCTCAAGGTAGCAGTGCGGCTTGTGAATGCTGTGATGCTGGAGTGGATGGAGCATCCCACGGGGTGGGGCCCTCCATGTGCTCGGTGGTGAACCTGGAAGTGGACCGGAAGTAGTTCTGGTCCACTTCTGGGTCTGCCAGGGATCGGCCACAGAGGGACCCCGGGTGACCCCCCCCAGACCCAGGAGGCACCAGTCACCGAGCCGGGAGGACCCAGAAGTGGACTGGAAGTGCTTCTGGTCCGCTTTCGGGTCTGCTGCCGAGTGCGCTGGGGAGCCCCCTGAGCTCCTGTGGGACAGTCCATGTGCTCTGGCATCACAGTGTTCACAAGCCGTGCTGGTACCTAGAGGTATGTAGAAAAAACATTTAAAGCTGCATCTATGTTCAAATCCCTCTGAATTGATTCAGAGGGTTCCAGTTCAACTTAGAGAGATTAAAGGGTCCTCTGATTCAATTCAGATTCAGAGATTTGGCCACTGAATCAAGCCAAATCTCCTCTGAATCGAATCAGGGACCGAAGCTGTGCACAGCCCTAATGGTTATTTAGTGACGCTTACTGCGCATTAGCCTAGTAACACTATGCAGTGGTCTATTAGCATGGTTTTTTGCCATGGTACACTACAGTGCAGAGTTATTAGGCTAATGCACAATAAGCATCTTATGTAGACTTGCCCTTGAAGTCTTTGCAGATAGTTCTCTAAACACATGTGTTTGGTGTGTGGTGCCACTCAAAATGGCAATTAAGATATGAGAATACATTAGGAAAGATATACAAAACAAAACAGAAAACAATATTATGCTGACAGCTTGGGTGCCAACATCTTGAGTACAGTCCTGGTCACTCCATCCGAAAAAGGATACAGGAGATGGAGAAAAAGAGTACAGAAACATAGCAAAGATGAGCAGGTATATGGAGCAGCCTCCACTAGAGGAGAGACTGAAAAGTTTGACTTCTTTTGCAGGAGAAGAGATGAGAAATGGGGTACGTGGTAGAGATTTATAGAAATCCTGAATGAGGTGGAAAAATGCATGGAGAACAGTAACAGGGAACCCTAACCCTGTTACTGAACCCAGTGGGGAAGGAGAAGCGGAGGGCCAGAGGTCAGTGTTTTAAGAGAAAGAGAAACCTGGGCCAGGGCACTGGTGTCATACTGCTTTAAGAAAAGAGCAGCGAAAGCCTGTAATTAAGAGGCAAGTAGTGAGGAGAGGAGATGAATATCTGGATACTTATACCATTGCCCGAAGACCTGGAAGGGGGATGGGAGAAGAGCCTCCATGAAGAACAAGAGAGTGGGAGCGACTGCGGAGGAAAGAGAGACACAGCGGCTTGTGTGTTCCAGGCATCGGAGCACCATGCCCCCGATTCTGAGAACCAGGGTGGGGTTGCCTCCACATCAGCACGCTGGTGAAGTTTGAACTCCCCGAGAGAAAAAGACTTCAGTTAAAGGGTGACAAGGTTCTTTGGGTAAATCTGACATCTATTATTAGACCAACTAAAATAGTTGGAAAAATTCTTCTTTGCAAGCTTTCAGGTACAAACGCCCTTCATCAGGCTGCGGAAGCTGTCCACAGCTGGTCTGTGCTCTTCCTGCGATATTAGATGCTAGGCAGGTTATAATATATCATAAATCCAATGTCTATATTTAGTCTGTGATTTTTTTGTATCCAATAGGCTGATGAAGTAAATTTCATAGGCTTGTCTGCAAAGGTGGTTTGTAAATTCCCTTTGAGAATTAGAATTGAGAAATTGGAGAGAGTGTTGTTGTCTTGTGAAAAATATGCCCCCACAGGTAATTGGGTATTTTTGCCTTTGATAGATTTTCAATGTGTGTTCATTCTCATGTGCAGTTGTTTGGTTACTCCTACATATTTTTCCATCAGGGCATTTGGTGCACTGGATGAGATATTACATTTCTGGAGGTGCAGCTGTAAGATCCAGCAATGGTGATGGTTCTGTTGTGGGGTGTAGTTATTGTGGGAGTGGTGGAGATATTTTGGCAGGTCTTACATTTCTTGTCATGGCATGGTCTGGATTCATTTGGTGTGTTTTGGGCCATAGGAAGTTTGCTTCTGGTGATGAGGTTGGTGAGGTCTAGTGCTTGTTTTAAAGGCTAGGGTGGGTGATTCTGGGCAGATCTCTTTAAGAATTGGGTCATCTTCTAGTATGGGTTGCAGTTTGAGGCTTTTCCATATAGGTTCCAGGGAGGGATGATATGTCAAACTAGTAGTGTGCAATTCATGGGGGTTTTCTTTGTACTGCAGCAATTCTTCATGTGGTATCCAGGTGGTTCTTTCAAAAGTGCAATTTATCTCTGGAGGAGTGTCCTTGTTAAGTGAAAGCTCTTTTAAAAGTTGAGATGATGATCAGTTAAAGGGTAGACTTGTTTTTGTTTGTGTGTTGTGTTGTGTCCGAAGGGGGGTGGGTTTTCCGTTGCTAAGTAGCTGCTTATTTATTTTGTTGCTTATATTAAAGTTGTGCCAATGGAATAGGTTTGGAAGAGGAGAAGGAGTTCACAGCATGCCTAAGGGCAGGCCATTATGCCCTGCCAGGGAGCAAGGAAATTAGGGGCCCGCCTACATGTTCATTAATGTGCCTTTAATACTGTGCATTTAGTTTAGTACACGCTTAATAAAGTACTAACTAAATGCACAGTAACTAGAGTTACTGCACAGTAGCACCAGCGCACAGTTATTTTGTGACGCTTATTGTGTATTAGCCTAATAACACAGTGCAGTAGGCTATTATCACTGTTTTTAACTGCCACGCTATTGCACCGTGTTATTAGGCTAATGCTCAGTAAGCATCTTGTGTAGACGCGCCCTAGACATAGTGAGCTTGTCTGCCTGAAGTTAAGAGTGGGCAGTGAAAGTGGTCAGAACGGTGGACCTAGTGTTGGTGGACCCAGCCAGAGAAAAGGGTGTTTAGGCCAGGGAAGCTGAAACCCCAGCAAAGCTTGTAGAGGCCGGAGGGTTGAACAGCCAGGAGGGGAGAGGGTATTTCCTAGGGAATTAAACGTAAACATTGATGAGGCACGGGCATGACTACAGTGTGGCTGGATGTCACGAGTACCACCTGTAAAAGGCATAGTTATGAACTGACATGAAGAAAAAGACCCATACCACAGGCTGAAAGGCAGAGAGAAGAGCCTAGTAAATTATACAATTAATGAGAGGCTACCCTGTCTCTGCTAACAGCCTCCCAGACTTAAAACTTGTAAACTCCAAGGCATGGCTGGCAAGGTAAGATGTGAGGCAGGAACCAGAAGGTCATGAACATGTGGCTCTGACTGATACCAGGAAGAGTACCTTTGGCTTGTTACAGGAACTAAAATTTCCTACATCTCATAATGCAAGAACTGGGGCCACTCAATGAAATTGTTACACAACAGACAAATTGTTACACAATTAAAGGGAAATATATTCCCGCTGGTGGGAGTGGCAACGGCTTTATATTTCAGCACTCCACCCAGCACCAAAGCAAACATCACAAACGAGTTTTTAGAAACACAGCTGAACAGAGAAGGTAAAGATTTCTGGGGTTTTTTTGTTTTTGTTTTTACTGTTGTAGTTTCTATCAGTATGACTTTAGGCAAATGCATAGTAAACTTTGGATCTGGACTTTCAAAAGGAAATAGGTGGATGCTGGCTGTATCATTCCAAAGAAAGACAATCTCATTTCTGCAATTTATTATACTGACCTGAGAAATTGTTTCTTGTTGGGAATTACACAGCATAGATACTGCTTTAAAAAAAACACATTTGCCTGAAGGCTCTTCATGGATGTAAGAGAGTTTTATTAAGATCCTTGTTT